TATCAACGTCAATTTGATCGTTTCATGGAGCTCATATACCGTTCAATTGACTCCAAACAGCCTCATTACATTCGACCCCGTCAGTTTCACACAATCACCCATCTTACGTTCTATCGAATTTTCCTTAATGTTGGAAATGTCGACTGTATCCGAAATATATTGCCGAACATCGAAACCGTTGAACTGATTGATTGTTCACTGCGCAATGATGCTTTCGATGTTATGTTGAAATTTTGCAAAAATCTACGCTACCTTTCAATAAAGCAGGAGATTTTATTTTATTGCGCCGGGATTTTATCGAAGCCATCGTTTTTACATCGGAAATATGCGAACCTAACGCATTTGGAAATGGAGCCAATTCCATCAATGATTGATTTAAAGCAATTTTTCCAAATAAATCAGAACGTTCAGCATTTTTCAACGGATTCAGTCAGCATTTGGCGAATTAAAGAGGAACTTATTGCGTCTGACATCGAATTGAATATGTTGGAACATCATAAAGCTTATCAAAGCAGTCAATGTTTTTTTTTTTTCAACAAAAATGTAAATTGGCTTGATAACAATGTATGTTAATGATTATCAAAAGCCTTTTTTGGATTTTATCAAACTGACGACATATTTAGAATAAATGTAACCTTTTTGTCAATTTCATAGAGATTATTTGTGTATTTTTTCTTACATAACAGTTGATGTTTATTTGTTTTTTGTTAGCACGCCAACCACATGCAAGCAATTTATCATTCCAACCACATGTATATATTGAGCAATGAGAATGGGTGGAATATGTGCTTTAAAACATCCGAAACACTCAATCAGCTGATCGCATTTGTTTACAAAACAAACAGCGTCGAAGCTGTATGCTTTCTAAGCTCCTGAAATAGGCAATCATCTCTCGATTTTTTCTAATTTCAAAGAAATCTGAAAAACAAGAAAATGCTGGAAAAAAACTAAGGAAAAGCTGAAAAACAGAGTTCACTTTTAAAAGTTCGCCTTACATATTTCTAGGAAATAATTTTCAGACATAATTTGATACCCATATAAATCGCAAGTGGAACAGCGAAAATTCAATCAGAGTCGAGAAAGAAATAAAAACAAATTTAAATGTCATATTTTCAGAAAAAAGTATCAAAATTCTGCTGTTTTCAACACTCAACTGCATTTGAATGAAAAATGCGAATATGGTATAATTATGTCGTTGGCTATAAAAACGACCACTATAGAGTTCCCATTTTTGACTGACCGTTTTGAGGAACGTTGACCTTAATTTTATGCAAATGAATTTCAATACTTTAAAATTTAAATTGAAGTAATGCGCATTAACTGTGCAAAGAAAAATCAATCTAATTAAAACCACGGAAACCTTTAGAACTGTTCAACTTATAATAGTATTTTCATTAACTATCACTATCACCATTCTGACACAATTATTTGAAAAGTTGGACGCTTGGAACCAATTTTATTCCTAGTGTCATGTATTTTCCAACTATTTCTTAAGCCACAAATAATCCCAAAATTAAATTGATTTATTGTAACCATTGATCACCTAAATTTACACTCTATTCGCACATAAGCGGGTCAGTAATCGCACTGGAATATGTAAGCGACATTCGTTTAATAAAGCTAGATAATGCGTGTATAAAAAACAAAAAAAAAGTAGATTGAATACACAAAAGTTGTTGTTGGGCTTTGCTCTACTTCATACAAAGTAGAAAAATACAAAATAGACATAAATAATGTGAGATTTTTCGTAAATAAAGCTGTTTTATATATATTGAGAGGAGAATGTGAATACATAGAAAACTGTCAAAAAGTTTGTTTGCTTTGTTTTTAATACTAACACGTACATTGAAACGACGATTGTTAGTTGCCCATGTCATTTACTACATTATATATCAATTATTGTTACTCGGCAGTCAAATTTATAAGCTATTCGACGAAATATGGTATTGACCAGCCTCAAGGAGGTTTCTACGATAAAAATACAGACAAATAGTGTCGTGTATATATAAATGGTACTCCGAAACTGAGAACATTATATTTGTTTTCATAACGACACGAACATTACGTTCGAATGGATTGATTTGCAAATTATAATAGATTCAACTTTTTTTTTTATTTCGTCGATAGATCGTGATTATTAATACTTTAAAGCGTCTGTGTTTATTATTGATGAATCATCTTATTTAAATATAAATATCGGCGGCGTCAATCGAATCAGTTAAATACGCAGTAAGCTGAGGCCGCACAGAATTTTGGAGGTCAAGAACAAAAATAAATCAA